GCGTCAGCGCTCTATTTTGAGGTTATGTCACAAACATCTATTTGCATCAAATTGTGCTTGCTTTTGAGTTTTATCATATTTTTTCAGCCTGAAATTTCCTACAATTTAAAAGGAAAACATATCCTAACAATAGGAGAGCACTGACGCTGACACGGGACGAGTGTAATCTAGAAATTTTTGACGGAGAGAAAAGAGTATGACAATCAAGGAGGCCATAAACGCGCCCTACAATTGTAGGGACGACTGACGTTACGGGGCTTAATCAAGTGCATCGATGAAGATAAGGTTACGTCGCTTTAGTTGTATTAATACTTGCAAACCCGTTGAACCTTACACATTTCGATTATGATGTCGCAGCCTATTATAACTGCCTTACAGAGGAAATAGAACAGAAAATTCAATTTTACAGAATGGTTGCATTAGATTTTGTTATAATGATATAGGTAGACACGAACACATCACTGGTTACTATGTGAGAGAAGATATTCGAAAATATAATTACCGTTCATTGCTATTATACAGGGTGACTTCGAAGTTGAGTCATTTATTTTAACAGTGAGTATATCTGATCAAAAGAAATGTTTTTTTCCTTTAACATTTTTGTGGCAAAATTAAAGTAACAAAGTTATAGCCTTTTAGAAGTTTGAGTACCGCCCTGTCTCAATAATAATATGTGCTCGTGTTTGGCAACAACGGATATAATCGGAAACAAAAAAGCGAAAGAATTTGAAACGTTTATCACGATGTTTTATTCATTTATTTTATTCAGTTGTATTCAATCGATGTGTCAGTCGGTAACGAGTGAGTGGTGTTTCTGCGTGGCTCAAACGAAATAAAAAATGGCACATGTTTACGAAAATGCTGAACTTGTGGACATGATTCTGATTTTACAAAATGCTGCTACGGCAACACGGATTTATGCGGATCGGTTTCCCAATCGAGTGCAACCAACCCCTAGTGCCTTTGTTAATGTAGTACAAAGGGCTCGTGAATCAGGTGACTTAAGTCCTCACACGGGAGGGTATGTGCTCCAAGACCGCACGATCAAATACAGGTCCGCACTGAAATAATTGTCGGGAGGATATTTTATAAAACAAGGTAACATTTTTTTTAAATTATTTTTTAATTTTTACACACATATTTTGGTTTATCTTCCTTCTACAATCATTATCTGAAAATTAATGACTCAACTTCAAAGTCACCCTGTATAAATTTGCAAGATATAAGTCTCCAAATTATTTGTATAATGTTTTAGAGAAGATATTCTCTATTCGCCAGTTGTATCGGTGTATCAAGGTATTAAAGACACCATCTTGGTAAGCCATAGTGAATCTCTCTATTTCAGACTTTAACCCACTAGTCCTACGAAATGAGAAGCTTAACTGATTAGAAAAACTATGATCTTCTACGTGTCTGTAGCAGATTCCATGCACCGGCTTGTCTCCACGAAGCCCTAACAATACATTTTCTTCAGCAGTTTTTAAGTTGAGCAGGAACCAGCTCTGGAGCGGAATGCTGGCATTCCCGCTTGAACTCGAGTATGAGACTAAGTTCCTCGGCTGCTCTTTTCGCTATCCGAAGAAGGAAAGCTCCTTCAAACGCATTCTCGTGTTCACGCACAAAGCGAATGAGCGGATTGGTACTCCTCAGAACATCACAGGCAGTGCTCAGTACCACTCAGTGGATTATTATTATTACTCTTTTAAAATTGTGTGGGAAGCAAAAATGAAACCAGTTCATATGAATGTCTTAACTGCTAAGTAGATTGGTATGGGATGTTCATGCACTACGGAACACCCACTTCACGGAAACGATCACGGGATAATTTTCGTATACTATTAACTGCTTTAGTCCTGATAGTTTCGTGAGTAAAGTATAAATCTCTCCCCCTGTCCAGCAACAGCCATAACAAATAAATTACCAAGGTAATTGGTCCGCTTTGTTCATTAGTAGCGAAACAATGGGATGGCAGCAGGGGAAGATGTGTTATTTGGGGGTAATTTAGGTACAAGGGGCCTAGCACAGGTGGTACAGGATAAGTTTTTTACAAGCGGGTCGGATAAAGTGAATGAGTGTATTTTATTTTTAACAAACAACACTACTGAGTACTTTGAAAAATAGTAATTAGGTTAAGATTAAAATACCAGATGCTAGGCTGCTTTTCAAATTTTATTCCAATTAATAATTGAACATGATGTAATAAAAGATGGAACAAAATCAAGTTGCTTAACACAGTTCCGTCCATGGGCGCCCATTGGGGGGCAAGGGGGAACATGCCGCCTGGCTTCTGCTTCGAAGTGAAATATTCTTAATAAGATACCCAAGAAGCGGCGAGAGAGTTTTTTTGCTCTTCAAAGCTTCCCAACGTAGAAGATATTATTTATGCTACCATTATGAATATTTGCAAACACTGTCCTCTATCAATTTTGCGTATTGGGTATGATGCATTCGATTTTCCAGACCACTGCCGAGGAAGTACTGAAATCACAAAAGCAAGGTGACTGCTGAACTTAAGGACGAAAAGGTTTGGGAATCAATCCAGTGGTGGCAGAGCTACAGACGAAAACGAAAAGAGAAATTAAATCGTTCAAACTCCCGCTTTTGGCATTTGGGAAGCTTCTGATCACTTTCAGAAAAAAATTGTAGGGGCTGAAGTGGTTGTGGATTGAAAGAAGTGGGGATTTCATTTTCTTATCGGTAGCATATTTATACGCCTCGAGTCTAAGTAATTCTACGTGCCTAATAGAACATATTTTACACATCACAGATTTCCCCGTATATTTGCACTTGGCATGATAGAGAAATATTTTCAACAGACCCGTTGCCTATCAATCTCTTGGCAACCTAAAGAATGTATGCCTATATGCACACCTTGTTACAGGTATGCATCACACATACCTGAATGAGCGCCTGATTGGAGCCAAATTTTGGCAGTAATGTTTTAGGGTTTGGTTTAGCGATTTTCGTATTCTGCAGTTCGGCTTCTGTAAATTCTAAAAGGTTGATGTTACTGTAACAATGTCGAAGGACGGTTCTCGTTAATTACAACGTCTAAGAAAGCGCACATAACAAGCAAAGTGTGACGTCTGACCGCTCTCTGCTGGTGCTGGCTCATGGCTGACTGGCGTGGCTCAGCAACGTTGCCATATGTTCGATACTGTCGGTAGCACAGCGGAGAAATTCATAGATCGCAGCATTATCAAATTTTGAGGCCTATGGCATAATTATATAGGTCTGCTTTTAGTCATATCTTCGCATCTGTACTGTAAAATACTTTGATTCAGTTTGCATAATGTTATTCAGGAATCACTCCTCCAAAAATTATTATTAATTATTATTATTATATTATATATATTAATATATAATAATTAACACATTTCGAGATATAGGCGATTTAATATTTGAAAAAGATTCTAGATATTTTTCAAATACCCTTTAAAAACGTATTGAGGGTGTTACATTGTAAATCTTTGTTTTTAATTGTTAGTCAAGCGCACCTTAAATATATATTCTACATGAGTGCGGGCGGCTAACTTTGTCTGGACAGTCTTTGGAATTAGTTTGAGAAGATTGTTAAAACAGTTGTTCATTGAAAATGAGTCTTTCTTTCATCAGACTATGCAAAAAACCGAATCAGAATGTTTTTCCGAGCAGGTACGAAGATATTTTCTGGGGTATATATGCCATTGCATAGATTGATAAGAGACATACCAGCCAATTTCTTTTCTCTGTGAAGAAATATACAACCTTAAAATAGCACCTGAGTATCTAGCACCTGCACTAATGCGTTAAAATGCGTAAAGGGTAGGGTAGGCAAGTAGTGCGATCAAGTATGGTGGGGGAGAACAAGTGGACAAATCAAACTGGACATACCGGTAACCGGGGTGCGGTGAGGAAGTAATGAAGTTTCCTTTGGGGTAAGATAAAAGTAGGGGCACTTGATGAATTGTGGCTGTCCACTCAGCTCTCTCGGAGGGTTTTTAAATCGAGGGAGTAGAGGGAGAGGTTGAACATGCACTTCTCAAGCCATTTGTAGTTCTAATTCGATTGCATACCAAGAAGAGTTCATCGTCCCATGATTTCAGAATCAGGCTTCTTACTCCAAGAAAACTACGCCAAATTCCTCTTATTTGTGCCAGAAGTAAAAGACAGAATATATCTAAAAATAAGATAAAAAGGTGGTTCAAATGCACTACGATACAGCAGTTTGTTTCTAACGGTTTTTCTAGAAATGATGGCGAAAAATGGCAAAGAAATGTTCCCACTCTTATCTTTCAAGTTGTGGTTTTTGTGATAATATCTGTTTCATAAGAAAGTTGTGTACTTTTCCATTATAGACCTAGATCAAGCTAAAGTCAATCGATGAACTAATAAAAAAGTTATCGCAAGCAAAACTTTATTACGTCTAAATCCATTTGGTCATGATCAAGGTCATTGGCAAGGTCTATGCAATAGTCAAGGTTTCCTTTAGGTGTCAGAACACAAGCGACTGCATATAAAAATAAGGTAAAAGAAGTTGGTTCAAATGCACTAAGGTGCAACAGTTTATTTCTAACGGTTTTTCTAAAAATGATGGACAAGAACTGATCCCGCACTTATCTTTCAAATTGAGGTTTTTGGAAATACATATATATATGTTTCTGGAGGAGGTTGTGTACTTTTTCACTACAGACCTACCGAGATCTAGTCAATCGATGAATAATTAATAGAAAAGTTATTGCAAACAAAACTTTATTTCGTTTAAATCCATTTATATTTGAAGTAGATATACATGGTTTGAAAACGTTACATACTTAACAGTTTGTTGCGATAACTTTTGCATTAACATAAGTTATCGATTGACGTCGAACCGGGGCTAGTAGGCCTGTTATAAATAACTTTATTCTTATAAATTTTTTTTTCAAAAAAGCCCAGTCTGAATAATTGGAGCAAATTTTTACCCATACTTGACCAACATTCTGAATCTGAATCGGTCCGTTTTTATGCAAATTTTTCATATAGTCGTTTCTGTGCATCAGTTTTGACACCTGAAACCTTAATTTGCTTGTTGTGAATCTGTGGAATACTGTTGGCATATGATGCATAAAGCAATCACATTCTTACTGCAAAAAAACTGATTTGTACATGTTGTCAGATGAGGAGGATAGAACTAGACCCTTTGGGCAAGACAAACCCGAGATAAAAAGTCCTGCATATTTACCACTGGCCAAATCCAATGGGATGCTGTATTACTATGGACTCATATTAAAGGTAATAATCCTGTGACTAACTGAAAAATGTTATTGTTTAAATACAATGTGCCATAAATTACGTGGCTGGTATATTCTGTTACTAAACTGACCCATATTTCCTTTAAGGGTTCTGAAGCAGAGGTCCGGCTATTTTGTAACTACCATAATATGAAACTGGTTAGCATTGAGAGTTTGGGAGAAACAGAATACCTAATAGGAGGATTAACAGAGTTCTGTGAGTAATTTGCTACGTTGTAGCTAACTTAATGTATAAACAGTTTTGGTTCCTAATTCTTCTTTTTCACTAAATTATAAATTCATAAAACTGCCGACAAACACACAGTAAATGCACTTTATACATACGAATTGCGATTTCTGTGAATAATGGTTGCAAAACGATTTTCTAGGAATTTGCAGCTAAGATGAATTCTTGTTTTCTTTTATGTTTTATCTTGTTATTTTGTACACTTCTGTATGGGACCCTATTCTCTGCAATAACATCTTTTTCAGAAAATTTTAGGTTTTTAATCTTAACGTCAGACCGCTATAATGGTATAATATGTTAATAAGGTTATAGAATTCTCATTATGACCTTTGTCTTTGGGACAACCTATTTATTTATTTCCTTATTTACAGGGTGTCCATTTTGATATCCCCACCTAAGCTACGCATCCTAGAAACACGCTTTAAAGAAAAGGGTTTACACGGGCAAAATGATGGTGACCTCGACCGCGACATTAAAAGTCATCTCAAGCGATGTCATAGTTTTACACGTGCAAATATATCTCTGGAATTTTAGCATCAAAATCAAAAGTTTGCCTCCCAAACAACATTTAAGACGGAGCTCAAGGTCATATTCGGAACATTTCGTCTTTTTCCAATTGCGGTGTGAAAATGAGGGGGATAAAAATGAGAGGTCATGGTCAAGGTTTATATCATTTCGCTCTACAACTTTTGTTTGGATTTTTTTAGTAAGCATAGTTTTTGAAATATTTAGGTTGGGAGATTAAAATGGTAAACCCAGTATAACTCCGGGAAGAAACTAGGAATCTACCCTTGCGGGCGGTAAGCCTGTTTTTCGGAATAAACTAAACTAAAAATGAGGACATTGCCATTCTAGCCTATTCACTTACTCAACGTTATTAGATACATATAACCGTTTTGCTAAGGCATTAGTATCTGCTTTAACTCTCCCATTGCATCTAACACTTCTTTGTCAGTACGACACAGTGAGTCACTTCATTGGGAACGTAGTATAATGCAGCTACAATCATGATTTGGAACTAGTTATGGAATCCATGGATATGAAGTCAATTCATTTCAGTGGATGAATCTCAAACTATGGCATTCTGGACATCAGGAAAAGGATACGACCGCATGTGGTGGTGGGATTCATATGGACATCCGATCCACTACACCAACTGGGCACCAGGACAACCTAGTGATACAATAGGGAGGAACAACACTTGCATTGAGGCTGTGCTCAATACTACAGCACAAACTTTGCTGTGGTATAACACGGATTGTGATGCGGCTAATTATTTTATATGTGAAAGTATTATTGAGTCATAGATGTACAGAGTAGGTATATCCAAGCAATGATTTTTAAATGTTTCAAGCGTTATTTTCATTTGCCAATAAACATTGCTCAGTAGTGTATGTAAATCTTACTTAGTTAACAGTATCAAACCATCCACAACCGTCAGAACTTCGTTATCAACGCAAGTCTAATTTAGTATAGAGTGAGTGAGCTAATATTTGATGCGATATTCGAATTAAGCAGATTAAAATACAACCTTTTTGTCTATAGGTATCTCTTCGTACATACTTCGTCTTCGACGAAAAAATAAAAACGACCTCGAAAAATTATCAACATAACATCGATTTAATTTTATCGATGCACAATATTTATTTATTATTGATTTTTGAAATGTAATGAACGGGAAGCAACAACAGCTTGGAAAAACATTTACAAAAAATGTTGGAAGGGACGACCTACCGCTTCTGTGCAGACATCTGCTTTCATATTTTAATACTTTTTCGATCTTTTATGAAGTTGTTTTAATTTTCTTCCTTGCAAATCAAGTAACATACGAAGTGGTAGCAAGAGACAAAAAAGTCATTGGCGTTTAGTTTTCTTTTCAATATTATTTCTGAGACTGCTCCCTGAGGTACCACTGCCGCTTTTTAACTTTGGCATTCCTTATTTTGGAAACTTTTATAAGAACGCTTATGAGAACGTTTCTAGTTGAATTGTTCAGGAATGTACACTTGTAATAGCGCTCAATCATTAAGTAAAACCTGTATATATTGTCATTAAATGTACTTGAAAACGGCCACAGTGGTAGCGGAAACGTGGAAAAAAAGAACAAATTAAAACATATAAACACAGTCTGACTAATTGAGTTCAATGTGAATGAAAGAGACGTGTGTATAGACACAGGGGTTAGAAAGAGATAGAAGTCGGCTGGATAGCGAAGCTCATCGATGCGTCGCCTAGCAATCTGCTGCCTCGCTAATATGTTACACCATTTGCTTGAATTGAGATAATGAAACTATGCGTTATATTATTATGCGTTATGCAACACAATGATAGTTTTATTTTGTGCGTACACAAGGCGCTCCATTTCAGGTCGAAATAGAAGGTCAAAATTCCCATCTCGTACATTCCAAGGCAACGATTTCACCTCCATGATCATAGATGAGCGGTTTTGGTCAGTACTCATCTAGTGCTCATTGGGGAGTGTAGTTCTGCTTCGAAATGGTTTTCACCTGCTTACATGCAGGCAGTGATAATTTCAATTGGTACTTGTTAAATTTTTTGACCGCTCGCTGTCGCAAAATGTAACAATAACTTAGGATGTCTTGATTTCAACACCATCGGTTCAAATCAAAGTGGCATCAAATTTGAAATAAATATTTCTAATCAAAATGAAAACAAAATATTATATTAAATGTTCGAACATACTGGCAACGTGGCAGATTGGACGACCTTCTGCCTCACCATTGCTAGCCAATGTGGTGATGGCATTCGCTTCTGTCTCTTTCTAACATTTGTTAATACATACTTCTCTTTGAACTCAAGCCGTCAGACAAATTTGGTTTTCCTGTATGGCTTGACTCGGCCAGGCAATCGAGTCCTAGTAACATTGAGGTACAATCTCATCAAAATCGGACACACAAATATAACGCCGAAAACGTTTTTTCGTGATGTCACGTAACATCCAAAAAACATTTCAATTTCGATTTTTTTTGCGATTACGCCAATTGCCTTGGGAAGTAAAAAAAGATGAGCTGTGCCGGAACTACGGACACAAGTTTGCTTAGAAGCAGATAGGGGGCTTTAAGGGATGCAGCTTAACCTCCTTTTACAAATACTATCGATTCCAAAGACGCTGAATATCTCCTTTGTCTCTCGTCCAGTTTTTCCTCGCAAACAAAAAGAAACTAGCAATTCTCAACCCTTACTGCCGATTTTCCAGAGATTTCACCCTACGGAGGACTGAGAAGTAATCCTATGAGCTGCATAAGCTTTGAAGATTCAATGGCTCCCCGATCCCCAAACAACGATGTGATTTACAGATTAAGGAGGAGATCTTTGGGGCCCCTGCCTCTGGGAGGACTTTTTCCGGGTCTCGCGGATCAGTTCCGGAGCGTCGGTAAATTTCTTAAGCCGCACGGTTCACCTAAGGTGATTATAATTACTGCGAGATGGGAATTGGTTTCCACTAATTGATTTTCAGTGTAAGTGTAAATGTTGGTTGTAGGAAACGTAGATGTTTCGCAATATGTAGTGCATTAGACTATCATTCTTTATGCATTTTTTCTGCAGGATGGACGAGTAAAATGTGTTCACTACTAAACTGGACAATCACTTTTAATGACCGCAACCCCTCAATGAAAAGAAGCATCTCGCCTTAGATAGATAATGATAATAAAAAATGGTTGACGCTGCACATCATACGTAACGCTGACATCAGTTCATTCGGCATGAGCTGGAAAAACATTGGCACGAACATATATAAGAAAGAAATTGAATGCATCATGTCAGTCAGACTCATACAATCAGTGCATAGTCCAACAATGCGATTTAGCCTACCGCCCGAGCGACAGTACCGATCACACAGCAACGTGATAGCCCAGCACTGCGTTGCATACACAAATACACGCATCACCGCTTAGTATAGGAAAGTAATGGGCAAAATCCACAAAAAGGAGGAAAGTGGATTCGAGCAGAAAATAGGATGAATGCACATATGCAACTACAAAAGTAGATACACATGCTCATACATCCGGATACGGGTGTAACCTGAGGAAATAAAGATGGATGGGAAAAAATCACACACGAAGTCCACAACAAGAGCCAACCTATAACCGGCCGCGTGGTTGTGGTTAGATGTCGCCTTGAAAATTCGAGGTCTTCTAGCTATTTTATACTACAATGTGTAGGTTGGCTCTTGTTGTGGACTTGGTGTGTGATTTTTTCCCATCCACCTTTATTTCCTCAGGTTACACCCGTATCCGGATGTATGAGCATGTGTATCTACTTTTGTAGTTGCATATGTGCATTCATTTCGGGGCTGATGAAGCCAACCAGCAGAAATACGTATCGCTCGGGTTACCTATCCTATTTTCTGCTCGAATCCACTTTCCTCCTTTTTGCGGATTTTGCCCATTATTTTCCTATTTTTTTGTTATATATATATACATGTGTTTACGCCTCAAAACTTTTTTCTATGTATACAATATCTATAATTATTTCCGCTATATTCGCATGCGCGGCTGAAAAGAAGCGACGTTGCAATTAAGAAAGACAGACTTCCTTGTACGACCTTCGAAAATAAACACGTACATTTTGAGCGGGTGTTTCCCTTCTTCATTCACCTCTCATCAGCAGCAATATTACAAAAAACATTTTGGTCCTTCGAGTCAAATCTAATCAGTGCCGTGAATACCCTGAGAAGTCGAATTCCCTTGGAAGAACAGCCGAAATTCTCACATTCACAAGTCCAGAAAGTGAGGTTAGGTGGCAGCAACACGGCGGCCATTGCAGCGGAGGCAGCGCGGCAACATCGCAGCTGTGAACCACGAACGGCGGCGGCTGACTCAACCGGCCAATCTACGTGTGGACCACGGTGAACTAGGAAGACAGTGGCGTTCCACTCAGAATTCCAAGGTACACATCCAGCTGCAAGCTAAAGTGAGATTACGCAGTGAGCCCATTCCTTTCATACCTTCATACTTACCAAAGGCCTAACTGCATATTCTCATGCATATTCATTCAATTGCTTAATTCTTACCTGAAAAACGGTGTATAACTTAGATTTCAATTTACACCAACTTGTGTGAATTTTTTGAAATTTCATACATACACGTTCTTACGCGCACCTTTCTTGTGCGTCGTGCTTACATTTGACATTCCATAAACATGGAAGATTCATCTCTTAGAACGCTTATCCGTAAACGAGGTGCGTTTAAAGCACAGCTTACTTTATTCAAAAAATATATTACTCAGCTAGAGGAAGCGATGCAAGATGTTTCTTTACAGGCTTTAGACAAAACTCTCATCATTGAATTAGAATTACGGGTAGAAAAATACGAGAAAATGTTTAAAGAATTTGAACAAGTACAATCTGACATCGAATATACTTCAGATGATTTTGATGCACAGTTGCAAGAAAGAGAAAGCTTTGAATCAGTTTATTATAGTCTCATATCACCTTGCAAGAAAATTATCTCCGATTATTACACCGCAGACAGTGGCGTAACGGACACGGGTTCTGGCAGATTTCCTGCATCCCCAGCTATCAAATCCTTCGAAAAATCGCATTCTAACCAGTTTAATGTCAAATTACCAGAGATAAAATTGCCAAAATTCTCCGGTAGTTACGAAAATTGGCTGGAGTTCAGAGACACGTTCGATTCTCTAATCAATAATAACACTTCGATAAACAACATACAGCGATACCATTACTTGCGATCATCTTTAGAGGGCGGAGCAGCGCAAGTTATACGCTCTATTGAATTTTCAGCGGATACTTACCATACTGCATGGCAAACTCTTACAAAACGTTACAATAATGACAACTTACTTATTCAAAATCATGTCAAGTCGATTTTCAATTCACCGGTCATGGCAAAGGAGTCGGCATCAGAACTACGCAAGATGCTCGACAACCTATCGAAACATTTACGCTCCTTACAAGTTCTAGGTCAACCAGTCGAACATTGGGACACTCTCCTTATTTTCATCTTAGGTCAAAAACTAGACAAAACAACATCCAGGGAGTGGGAGGAAAGAAAGGTCTCTCTAATCTCATCTGAAAATAAGGTCCCTTCTCTAGATCAGTTCGAAGCCTTCCTCAAGGGCACAGCGGACTTCCTGGAGACAATTTCTTTTGGTAGAGAGACAAAAAACACGCATTCCTACCAAGCTAACACGTCCAGCGATACAAAGAACTGCATATTTTGTAATAAATTTGGACACTTTATTCAAAATTGTCACGAATTCACCAAACTTTCTGGTGAAAACCGACTAAAACAGCTTGAAAACCGTAAGTTATGTGCAAACTGTTTGCGAGGCACTCATCCACTCAAAAACTGCATGGCTGGCTTTTGTCGAAAATGCAAGAAGAGACATAATACTTTGCTCCACAATGACTTCA